GAGGGGATTTTTTTGGCATGTGGATGCTGAAAGGATACTTCAAATTCCCCTTGCTTCACATGGCCATCCTGATTTTATCTCCTGGCATTTCTCTAAGTTAGGATGTTTTACAGTACGTTCAACATATCATATCACGGGCAAACTGAATACAGAACAAGAGCTCAGATGAACCAGGGGCTGGGAAGAATTGATCCACACCCAGTTTGGAAGGAACTTTGGGGAAGATCGGTGCCCACCAAGGTGAATGTGTTTAACTAGAGAGCCTTACACGGGATCGTGCCATGCTACTGTACATTGTATGATCGACATTTAAAATCTCCCGTTATTTGCCCAGTATGTCGAAATGACCCGGAAGATCTGCGTCATATGCTATTTGCTTGTGGCAGAGCAAGGGCTGTGTGGGAGGAGCTAGGACTGGGAGTCGCAATTGAAATGGCAGCGGCCAATGAGCGGTCAGGATCGGTGATCCTAGAAAAACTCCTGTGCGCCGAGCTGCTGGGTGAAGGGAAAATACCAATTGAAAATGGTGTGGAGACGGTAATGGTTGCTGCTTGGTACTTATGGTGGGATCGCCGGAGAATTAGCCATGAAGAGAAATGTGGATCGCCAGTAGGATCAGCCATGAGTATTCGTGGGATCGTAGCAAATTCTTTGGCAGGAAAGGTAAAAGAACCTGTGAGAAAGGTCAGATGGATCAGACCAGCAAAGGGGGTAGTAAAAATGAATGTTGATGCAAGCTTCCATGCTGATGAGGGAGCGGGAGCTACTGGAGCCATCCTCAAGGATAGCTCGAGGCGTTCATTGCTGCCGCAGCATCTTATAAACAGTACACGATGGATGTTTCGACGATGAAGGATTTAGCCCTTCTGGAGGGGCTCCAACTAGCTGAAGAACTGGGAATTTTTTCACTGGTTGTGGAATCCGATTCGCAGGAGATTGTTTAAGCCATCCAAAATCCGATGGAGCACCGCGCTGCTGCTGCAGTGCTGACTGATGATTGCCGGAAGATGATGAAATCTTTTGGCAGGGTGACAATTGATCACTGTGCTATAGAAAGCAATACAGTAGCGCATAGGCTAGCCAGTGAAAGTTTTTGAGGGAAGCTCTCTGGGTTCTGGCTTGATAAACCCTCCGATTTTGTAGTTTCTTCTCTTGTAACTGATATGATTACTACTTAATAAATGTCGCCGAAGTTAAAAAAACATGTGGTTGTGTGTCCTGTAAGCCGAAATATTCTTTGAGTGGGAGACCACGTTTCTTGACACAAGTTTGGTTTCTACACAAATGTGAATACATTTTCTACAACATAGCTTTGGTATCTATAAGACTGTGCATTTTTTTCCCTTGGGATTGATGTGTTTTGAGTTGGAACAATAGCTCTTTTTAAAGATCACGTCGGAACAATAGGTGAAATGTATGGCATTCTTCGTGATGAATGCACTTACTCAATATAATATTTTTATGTGTTAATATATTCATGTGCTTGTAGTCGTCGCTAGGTAGACTATAGATCTGGATGTATTTTTTATTATTTCTGTTGTTCGTTGTACTGGCATGATTGAAGGTGAATAGATCAGAAGTTTTCATGAAAAAAAAATCCATGTGTTTCTTGTTTGTTTTAAGAAATGGAATGTGATAATCTATCACATCTCGTCATTTCCTTTCATGTTGGATTTGCACTTTCACAAGTTGTCTTGTACTACCACTTTGGTTTCTTGGTAGAGCTAGTTTGATATGGTTGGCAAGGAAATATGCAGTGAGACTTTTCCAACTAGGGCTCAATTCAGCACATTTTTTAAGTTGCTGGCAATGGTACATTTTTTTGCTCTACAGTCCATCGATATTTCTTGTAACATTATCCCTCAGGTTTTTAAATATG